CAGCAGTGACAGGACTATAGTCTTTGCCGAACAGGGACCAGAGGGTTCACTTGTTGGGTTGTATAGGGTAGAAAGAAGAGAACGAAGGGACGAACTTGATCGATGGTGAAATTAATGGTTCGTTGGGCTTCTCTGTTGTTCAGCATAATTATGGCGGGTTTAATTCAGAGACTCATCCTGGGAATCTCTGTGGTTACCGTGGACCATAACTCAGTTGAATTTCGACATTTGCTTGCGACAAATACCATAGTGTTAGAAAGATAGAATCATCTTGGTCAGGTCATACAAAGATTACACAGTCATCCAGAACCTGTCACTGGTGCTGAACCACACTTTTAGAAGGATAGAAGGACACTGCTTGATCAGGTCATACGAAGATTACACAATCACCTAGGTCCTACGTTACTTTGCAATCATTGATGGTATCATAGGGATGACCAAATTCGAGACAAGCATGACTATTTGACCACAACACAAGATAGTTAGCTGCTCTTGTATTATCCTATACCAAACGTTAACTTTTCCGTCGCGTTCAGCCACTTCATCCAGTGTCTTCACGAGTTCTTCCATCCACCTGGGCGCGTGAATGGGTACTTTCAACTGGATGGTTGGAAGGATAATGGATGGGCGGGTTAGCCGCGTAGAAACTTGGATAGGGTCGGTGCACGTAGCCTTGACCCGTTTCCAGGGAGCGGACCAGGTCAGGAGAGTGCGTCGGAACGAACGGCATCGAGCTTTTACTCGCGTTGCGTGCATAGGGTCCCGCGCTCCTGCATAGCCAGCGATTATCGTTATCGTCTTATGAATGCGCGTACAAATGGCAAATGTCGGGGAAACATGGGATTGAATCCAAGGTCGTGAAGCTTCTTTGCTTCCTAGAACACTGGTAAAACACTCTGTTCCATTACTTTCGACCGAAGAATTGGAAGAATAGGAATACCCAAGGGTCATCCTTTTCCTCGCTCTTTCTTCCTTTATTAAGTAAGTGAGAATCATCAAACGATCGAACCAAACTTTCATCGATTTCCTTGATTCGTTCTGACGTTCAAAAATCGCGGCATTGTGTAATAAATCGGGGATTAACCGGTTCTCGTTGTGATCCTCGAGTCTGCCGTTAATTTAATAGACGCCTTCGAGTTCAAGGATGCACCAGGTTTAGAATATTCACGCGAGATGACGGAAAAATCGTGGGAAAAACTATCGACTTTAATTAAGGACGAATCGTTGAAAAGAGCCAGCTTAAATAGGAATTCTACGCACGCATGGATGCTGGAACGATCTCGGAAATTTCATAATTCCTTATTTGTTCATGGTCAGTTGATGGAGTTATGCGTTTCCATGAAACGGGCTAAGATTATCAATTCACACGATTTTCCTTGTGCTTGTTTCTGTCGCGTTCGTGAGCAGGTAAGAAGAACGATTAAATTCCCTTGCTTCCGATTTTTTCGAATTTTCGATATTCTAGAAGAGAGAAACTAGAATCTAGAGTAACTAGAAACTAGAGAGAAATTAGACCTTTGATAGCAACAGCTGTACTGAAAAAATTATCATTGTTTCTGTAATAACACTTTAATTGGCGTCATAATATCATAATACTGGCGATATTAGTGTTGAAAGTATAAAAGTGATTTTGAAAACCTTGCACGTGTGAAAGGAATTACTATCGACATATGTGTCACTGATTTGTCACGTCGATCAACAAAATATTAAATAAAGATTTGTTTTTAATATGGGAAAATAAATTTCAATGAAATATTTTGGCACGAGAATTAGGAAAAATTAGAAAGGGAGAGTTAGTTACCCCGACTTCATAAATAATATATAATTTCTTTAGGTTCTGAAAAATATAATTAAAATAAAATCGGTATGTACTAATGGTAGACGAAGATCAATTAAGCAACTTCGGTTTCGAATATAATTAAAGTAGATGTACAACGCAGACTATATTCTGATCAGTGTGCCATTGTTATATATCATTCTCTGAACTCTCTTTTCGCGTTTCTTTAAACACTTTAAATTTCCCGCCCTTTTGTCTCCGCTTTCGAGGACATTTTCTTCGCACTCGTGCATCTTCTCTAGCTTGTTTTTGCCCTTGTTTATTCCTGTCATCCTTTGCAAATCCTTTACTCTGTTTTCCATCTAAATAATTTATCTCACTGCATTATGCCGGGTTTCCAAATGTGATTCCGAAATAAGGAATTGGTCAAAAAATTATCTAGGCCTGAAAGAATGACAAGTAATAACAAAATTTCAGTCTATTTCCCTGTTATGCTAGTCCATTCGATTCCGACGTCGTGTTGAGAACCATGACGCTGCTCAAACCTCGTTCTCAACGAACGATCGTCAGCGTAGAATCCTACGTATCAACGTTAAACTATCCCAACATTTGCGTAAGCTTCTCCAAATGCTAAATTCGTGCTTTCAGCAGCTCCCACGATGCACGTACTGAGTTTATAAGAAAGTTACACGAATGTCCCTATGATCCGTGATGTCGAATAATGAAGTTCTAGCAATTTCATCATGCTGCTTTTTAATATTCCACACACGCGTGTCAGAGAAAATTACGTCTTCCCTAACCCAATAGTTCCCTCGAATTGAATATAAAACCAAATTTATCTTCCTCGTCTTTTCCCTCGATTTAAAAATATTAGCACCATATTCTTCGAATATAGCATTTTTAATTTTACAGCAATTTTAAATTGGAATTCTTCTTCGTGTCAGATCTTACGATCATAAGCTATGCTCATCATGCGATCATAACTGTATTTAACATACTTTATCAAGCACAAAATTCGAAGGAATACCACAATTTTTCTCCAATTTTGTCCTGGATGGAATAAGTGTATAGTGGTTCACTAAAAATTAATTAAAATTGAACACTTCTTCAATATGCAATTTTTCATAACTAAATCTTGTTGCATGGGGTTGATGTAATACTTTCAAGTTGGTACTTCTAATTTAGTAGTTCAAATGTATTTAGGATCGTACTTAGAGAGATTGACTGGAATGATATTGCAATGCTTAACAGAACAAAATGAGCTTTATTAATAAAATAACGGATTCATATAATAGAATGGTAACTATGTACACTTATTCCGACTGACCACGACCTCATTCGACTTTTTATCCTCACACTTTGACAACTTTCGTACAACTGACTTCTAAGACTGATTTCTACCACTTGCAACAGACAACTTTTAGATTGATTGACTTCTACGACTGACTACTGGCTTTAAGCTGAAGACCGATTCCCAAAAACTGACCTGCTCGCATGCTCATACCCTTATTTCAACCTTACGCTCTGTCTTCTTTCATACTCAGACTTTTTTCAAGGTGGGTCAGGTACTTCAAACACTCAGGACACATTCCTAGATTTTCGCTCATTTCTCGCATTCCACTCTGTCATAATATCCCTTACAAGCAACCCTTGCATGCGGATACTCTCGCCGTATGTTGTAATTGTAGTACCCACAGGGGTTAGGTCTTAACATTCTTTTAGGGCCGCACTCGCTCCAATCCTACGTAAAGTATACTCGGATAAAATACTTTTCTCGAGTTTCAGTTTTCTCAAACTCATATGTGCCCTATAAGAAATTTGTTTTCGTTCGACGGAGGATTATTACTTCCCAATCCCAATGTTTTCGAAGATGCAGCTCATCGCTCGTGGATGAACGTGTTTTCAGCGAAGGTCGCATGTGGAATGAAGGAAAAGGAAACGGAAATGCGGGTCTTCCGATAAATAAATGGAAAAACACGACAGCTTTTTAACCCCTACCTACGATTCAAGTTCCGATTGCCATAATCAACAACAGAATGGTCATACGTCGAGCCATTTCAATAATAACACGTAACCGATTTCGGAAGACATCGACGAAAATTCACCACGAGTCTGACCCGCGTTGTTCACGTTGGTCCCCGTCAATGAACCACGTCTCTCACTCGTTACACTCATGCTTAACCCGATGTCCTGATCACCAGTCTCGCACGATATTGTAGACGAAGGTGTCAATAAAGAAACAACCGGAGTCCCGAGAAACAGGATATTCCCAAAGTTAGGATTTCTTCGACTTTAAGGGAAGAAAACATAAAATTTTCTAATTTTCCATTTTATACGAAGCGTGCTGGTTTTTCAAATAACTTAGGGCACGCCGGAATCTCGCGGGAATTTGGATCGGGAATTCGATTCGGGACATTTGAATGACGATTTCCAGGATTTTTCCCGGATCGACGCGACTCGAATAAAGGTATAAAGCTCGTTAATGCGCTACGTGTGCCGCGAACGAATAAGTGGATGAGGAAACCTGACCGAGCGAGAGGGATGAAGAGGTTGAGGATTTTCTCGGGAAATGGAAAGCAACTATGCGGAAAATCATCGTTGTTATTATCATTATTTTGGCTTTATTGCGTCGGGACGTCGCGGAGAAAATAAATATGAATTACGATATCGTGGGAATATAATATCTAAATAAATAAAAAAGAGGCGAATAGAATTTAAAATTATGTTTCTGCCGTATTTTAATTTTTCGTGTATATAAAATAACTTTTTCTCCTTAATCTGTAGCTTGATTCGTTAAAACGAATCGTGGAATTATCGTAGTATTTAAGCAAATAAAATTCTATAAAATAATTGTAATATTACAATTTTAGAATTTTTAGAATTTCTTTATTCTAAACTAAAACGAGCCTAACCATATCCGTGGCTGTATTTAAGTGTAAATCATAATATTAAAATAAAATGTATATTTCAAGCTTATTAAACGTATTATACTATAAACTATAGTTTCAAAATAAATAAAAATGAGAATTATTTTCTTCCTCTTTGTGTAATTCGACATTTCATATTACACTACCTGATAGAATCGTTAAAATTGTTATAAAATTTTTGTTAAAATTCTATTTTATTGCAACTTCTTTTTATCGGATTTAGTTTGTTAAGATAAACACCTACTAAATACAAAACAAGGACTAATCTGTTTCTATGCTGTTTTTTCTGTTCACAGCTGACAGCAGTTTCCTCCTGGCGAACGCTCAGATCGTCGACTTCCCTATTGTCTATTGCAACGAAAGCTTTTGCAAAATCTCTGGCTATAATCGTGCCGAGGTAAATAGCCTGTTCTCCGCTTTCCTAAGCCTCTTTCCGTTCCACGACGACGCTTTGCGGTCCGATTTACCCTTTCAATTTACCCCTACCACTTTCGAACCAGTTTCTCTAACCAAGCTACGATAATCCACCATATCGAATCTCAATAGGGAACAGCGAAAAATCCTTCTGAAAACATTTCGTTTCTGATCTATGAGCATTCAGATTATCTTGATTTAAAATCGATCCAATATTTTATAAAGAATATAAATAATTAAAAAAATAATAATCCTAAAATTATTTCGAGTATTTCTATAGATTTAATATCTTAGATAAATTTTTGGAGTTTTCCAACGTTAATGTTCTTGAAATAGATCTTGCAGAGTTTGGGAGGTGTTCGATATTTTTGACACGCAGAAGATTTGTTAGGTCCACGATAAATCATAATCTGGATAATGATCCGTGTCGGGTAAAGGAAGTAGATAAGGTGGAATATCTCAGCCAGAGTCAAGTAGGTTTTGCCTGTTCCTTATCGATACTTGCTTAATATCGCTTCCTTTTTTCGTTAACCATTTATCCAGGGTTCATCCTGACCGATGCAGCCAACATCCAGTACTTTTCCAAATTCAACATTTCCTCATTTGACGGAAATCCATAATGAATAATCCTCTTCCACTTTAGCTAAACACACAAAAGTCCATATCGATTATTAGAAATACCACAAACTTTTTGAATCACCCAGTATAAGTATCCATAATAGATACATTCGAACCATTTTACTTTGATACTAGATCACTAGGTAGTAAAACAATATTTTACAAACATGAAATTACATATCACATCACGGGATACATTCCACGACTACTACTATTGTGAACATCACTCAAAGTTCAGTTTCAAGCTTAGCTACTGTGTTCATCAAGTTTTAAATAGTAATTGAAATAATTCTCGTACCTACCCCCTTTTTAATCCCTCTGTTTCGCATTTCCTCCCTTCGTATGACCGAAATTTACACCTCCGCAGGCATCAGAGATTACACGTTGCCATAATAGCTCGTGCTGTTTCTGTTTCAATCCAAACCAAAAAAAGAAGGTGTTGCGAAAATCTCGTGGAATGCAATTTCCCTGGGCTGTCTCGCGGATTTATCTTGAACTCGGGTACTGTGCAGACTTGGAAAGATGATTAGTGAGGCGGCATAGAGGCAAGGGGAGAATTCTGTTAGCCTTTCCTAATTCCAGCTTTGACGTTTTCAGAATCCCTACTTCTAAGTTCTTTGAAGCACACATAGACATGGTACTAGGATAAATTACATCTGCAAATAAATAGAAATGTTTTCTATCTCATTTACAACTACCCAGTAACATACAGTACTGTACATTTCTTATTGTCAAAAGGACTCGTAGAAGGAACACGAGTTTATTAGTCAAAATGAGAGCGACTTCTAATGACTTCTAAGAAAATTAGAGGATACGACCAGAATGTTACTTTTATGTCTGTGCCGTCTCACGAATCATCCTTTAAGCAATGCACAGTATCTCCTTCGTTTCCTTGTGTGCTCCGAGGAACATGATTCTTTGCGGAAACTAATTTCATTCGCGAAAATTACGGTGACAATCCGATTAGTCCGGACATTTCGCGTGGACGTAATCGGTTTAATGCACTTGTACATATCACAGGTGTAGCGCACCTGGCCCGGCTCAATTTCGCTTTAATTCCGCGGTAGTACGCCATGGAAAAACAGACAGCTTGTCTCGTACCTCGCGACCACTCGTCGATTTCGCCTAATTACCACCCCTCCATTCTTCCTTTCTCCTCTTTATCCTCTCGCCCTCTATCTGTAATTAAATTGACCAGGTTACGCCAGATTTATTATAACCCAGAACGTTTCGATGTAAAATGGGGATTGTAACATACACGGTTCATACCACGTAGAATTTCTGTCATGAGAATTGGAGAGAATGGTACGCTCCTGGCACTTGTTTTTGGGAGGATACAACGGTGACAGTATGATTCACTGCAGCGAAATTGAATCCCTTCTTTTTTTCTTTGGCATCCCTGTTATTGGAAAATATTATTCGATGACAGGAATACTGGTAAATATAAGACGGAACGTTACGGTATCGGGTTGTTGCATGCATCTCATAAGGGTATACAATCTTTCAGCGTTACCTAAAAATAAGACCTTTTTTTAATAAAAGTGTAAATAACATTATTCGATAGTCAATAAGGTTACTCATATTGAAAATTTTACCCTGTCTCTAACAACCTGATATTTCTCTTCATTTCTTGTGAAAAAAAGTTCAGTGTAGATCTTCCCTTTTTTGACTGGACCCTCGAAGGAAATTGTGAGAATTGGTATACTGAATAGAGATCTTCTGGTTTATACAATTGACTGATTGAGTTGTAATGGATGATTGATTTGCCGATAGGTTATGCAAAAGTCCTGCCGCTGCGGATTCATGTACGGGGAGTTGACGGACAAAGAGACGATCGCCAGGATCGAGGAATGCCTCGAGGGCCAGATTCACGATCAATTTGAGATCTTGCTGTACAAGAAGAACAGTAAGTACCGCTATGATTCTCATATCGCATGGGAGAAGCTTAAGTGTGGTGTTCGTGGCTTCTTTCGTTGCCGGAATCGACGACTTTCATCTGGAAAATGGATGTGAAAGGAATCCACATACACATGAGTTCAAAAACCATGATCGTTCATAGTCATCTTTACTCGTAAACAAAAAGAATACTGTCCTTAAGGAAACGTTCGAATCCTTCAATTTTTCCCTTGAAGATATTTCTCGAATGTTTTTCTTCTTCGACAGATTCTTCCAAACAGGTATTTGTTTGTTTTAATTTATTTGAATTGTTTTGTACGTGTTTAAAGAAGAGATTAAAGAAAAAAATAATGTTTGAAAATCAGTGACCACGAAATCTTCGTAACATCTTGATGTACAAAAGAGAAATTAACCTAAAAAATTAATAAAAATGTTTAAGGAAATAATATAAATCGTATTGAAAAAGATAAATAAGATAATCTATCCTCTGTCTATTAAAGTTTTTCGATGATATCAATATTTTCGGAAATATTCAGGCATGTCAGGGTTATGTAGCTCGCAATGTGTATACAGTGAGGTACAGTACACAAAAGAGAATGTGTACGAACGATATGTGTAAGAAGGATGAAAAACGTCCAGGTTACCCAAGTAAAGGCGACTGGAACGCCGCGGGCGGCCGTGGTCGGAAGTCGTCGATTCCCGGCGAAATAATTCTGACAGAACGCCGCGAGGCACGAAAATGATGTATCATTGTGCATGCTCGACGCTGGTCGACCACCGAATACCGAAGTGTCTGCATTCATCTGTATACCGTGAACTGTCGGCTTCGAGAGTTTTCCGTGCGTTCACGTGTTGTTGGTGTCGCCTGGTTCACGCAGACTCGCCTCGTATGTCAGTACGAGTATTATATACAACACGAGTGTATTTCAAACAGAGTCTCTATATGTTTATAACCCATTTCACGATTCGTCATTTTCTCTACCTATGTTAGGTTGGTGTGCATGAAACGTCGTTTACCTCAATGAGATTTTAAAGGTTAAAAGTTTCCTCGTTGCGTTGTATATGTAATAATCTAATTCTCATATGTACTTTCTCCCGTGATTAACTAATCCCATTGCTCGTGGTTTATAAATGATTCATTCTTTCTTCGTTTCTTGATGTACCGAATGTTTTCTTTTTGTCACGAGCGACAGAATAGGTTAAAAATAGATCGTGCTTATTTCTTTAAAGCAATGGGAGATTAACCTGCATTCATGCGAGCATTTGCACTGCTTGACACGTCGAGTGTCGTGCCATCTGTACGTGACATTTCTCCCTACCCCACGCAGGTTACTGACGGGCTACGGATAGGCCAAATTATCATGCTCATTGTAAACGTATATAAGATATAATTTATAATATTTATACGATTATGAAAATAATTAACAAAGAGAAGAAGGGACAACCATTATGTACATTGTAACTATGTACTATGTTTGCGATGTTATGAAATATTTCGTGGTAATACTTCTCATACAATGTTATTAAAGTTATTTACACAAAGTGTTCCGTATATATACCACTGATAATCCACGCGGTATTTGTGTGTTAGTGAAATCCATTTGTTTATTTTCTTTATTCCTATTTCAATCGAGTCGATGAATAGACGTATACTGTGAATGTTTAAAAAATTACACGAATTTAATCCCATTATATTAGTGAAATCGGAACTCCATGAAAACGACGTTTCATGTGTACCTTACCTAATATTCTCATCGTCACGACGCTTCTGATTTCTCTATACTATACTTTATTTTCCATTTTTTACTTTTTACTCGAACACGTGTGTACATTTTAATGGAATTTTAGAAAAACGTATCCGACATGATCCTCGAAGAATTCAGCGCGAAATCCGCGAATTCGATGTTCAAACTCAGAGATTCGAAGCTTCCACCGCCAGATGTCACGCGGTCATCAAAATTGAGGCTATCGAGTGGACATCGTAAAATATCAGACGAAGTATTCCAACATTCCACAATGGTCGAAGCCTGCAACTGAGATGATATCGTAATGTTGGAATACTTGCTAACCTCGAAAGCCACGATTTTTATAACCATGCAAACCTAACAGTTTCGAATTTCCGAGTTTGTTTCGGCTATACTTTCGAAAGATACCAGGGCCAAATGAACACAAAATTTGAGTAGAGTGGTGAAGATAGAGGATGGACCCAAAATATTACCTAAAATTTTGACCTCGGGTATTTATTAATTTATTAAACATTAAAAAATAGTTTGCAATACTATACAAAGAATTGTGCCTATATAGACTTTAATGATAACAATATTTTCTCCGTAATAATCGTCATCAGTTTTCAAGTAGCTTATGACGTAATAGTGACAATATTGGTTAGATTAGATAAGCTTGTACCACCTTGTGCTCTCACGGAGCATGCGTATATACAGAATCCGATATAGAGTAACGAAACCTTTCTATCGATATCTCAATAAACATTCGAAATTAAAACAATTTTATATTTTAGATCTAAACTCGTACCTCACCACCGTCACTCATGAATTTCGTGCCGATCGGCCAGTGCCTTTCGGAAGAATATCCATAGTTTCGCACGGAGTTTAGCACATGCTATAGCTACTCGAGCGACCCAGCAGCGACCAGTAACGAGCAGAGAGTGCGTAGGAAGAGATTCCAGCGAGAAAGATTTCCAAACAAAACACCCGTCTCCTCCATTATTGACGACGCGCGATCCTAGTGATCCAGCCGAGCCCAATAATGAATGATCGTTCTGTTTAAAGGTGCCCCACGAGGTATGTCTAGCACAGGTTCGCAAAAGAGTGCTCGAAAAACCCACCAGTAAGTCACCCTCGAATCTAACTATAACAAAACACCATCTAATTTATATATAATTATATACATATATGTACCGCATATATATTATATATTATATATAGATATACATATATACATATATCTATAAATATTAATGTACATTTGGAGGTATACTGTATACGATTGTTATACACCCATCTTTAGCGTGAACAAGAGACGACACACATACAAGGATCGTCGAACGATCCCGGGACCAAGGGGCGGCCATAATGAGAGGACGCTATTCGATCTCCCGCCTACTCTTGATTTCAGTTAATTCCCCCCTGAAATCTCTCCTAAGTACCAGGCACACGTATTCAACACGTATTACACACGTATCTATCGCCGTTTCCGCAGATGTTGTCCTTTTGCCAGCCCGGCGAACGATACGCCACCCTCCACGACGATTCAACCACTATCGTCCATCCTGCTCTCTTCTCTCATCTCTCCTTACTCTCCCCTTCCTTTCTTTTCCTTGCAATATCCCTTTCCCCTTGCTTCCTTGCCATTCTTCATCCAAACTGTTCTGTCGGTCTGAGGAATACTCTAGGAATTTACATATCTTACCTGGAATACTTCTTCCTCCTTTGTTTCTTTCAGAATGTGGCTTTCTCAGGCTTTCGGCATGATCTTCCAAAGTGTTCTCGTAAAGGAGAATTTTCGCAATGCTAACTCGGGGAAATATCAGAATTGGAAAATATCGGCGTACAACAGAGATACCTAACTCGTCATACGTGTATCACCAGTGGCATGTCGACTGTTCCTAACTGCATGAAATTTTTGGAATTATGTACAGTGAGCTGTGCTGTGGCGAATAGATGCTATTTGCATAATGGTACTTGATTCGATCACAAATTGACTAGATGATACTTAGGGGTAGGAGATCTGTTGATTTACGAAATTTTGCAAGTAGCTTTCGTTATAAATAATATAGATACAAAGGAGGATCTTGCAGGATTTTGTTTGGAAAGTTTAATTTTCGCTGGTAGAGTATTCGAGCGGTTTTTATACAATTATTCTAGATTTTATCGAAATTGTGGAGAAATCGTCGTAGGGGGAATTAGATCATCGAAGAATTATGACACGACTCTATTGATTTTCAATCAATAGTCGATCTAGCGATGTTCGTCGGGCATGTAGGCAAGCAGAGTAAGCTGGCGGCGTGTTTCGTCTTAATCGAAGCTATTGCGAGGATGTTGTAATTAACGGTGACAAATCCAGAGAGTCGCGAATTCCACTTTCTCACACTTAGAGACACTCGTAATTACCATTATTCGCGCGTATATGTATAGTTTGCTCGAGCGATATGCAGAGATCGTAAATGATTGTATCTAGCTGTGAATAACACCAAAATGGCAAGGTTGATGTCCATACTTACGATCATCTGCAGCTTCATAACTATAGGTATTTAATCTCGAACATTAAACAGAGAAAAATACTTTAATTAACTTTCATTACGCTAAATTCAGCGTAATATGTGGAATATTAAAAAGAACTTCAACTCCTCGTGAACATTTTTCAGTGATACCCAGCAGCGGAAGAACCCATTCCAAATCGAGGTTGTACTGCATTGATTGGTGCTCGAGCTCTTTATATCTTCGTAATATCTCAAGTCGCTGTTTCTGAAGTTGGGACATTTGTACTTTTGCACTTGAGTAATCTTACGACCTCGCTATATCGCTCGAACCAGCTACACAGTTCCGTAGGCAAGTTACATTTTCTTTTCTTCTTTTTTCTCTCTATTTCGAATACTCTAAAGAAAATTACGTCTCTTGTCCAGGGTTTGTAATCGATTTGCAATTAATTCAGGAACATTGTAAAGTTGCAGAGAAAAGATGAATGAATAGGAATTCGAGTTTACGGAAAAATCTATGGAATTAAACTGAAAATGGATTGGTTATAGAATGTTGATCGATAGATCGAACGAGGCCGAAAATATTGTAAAATCAGAGGTGAAGAAATTGATGGAGGAGAAGGAAAGATTAAGGGACGCAGAAAACGGGGACGGTAGAGATGACGGAGCAGAAAGAGGGATGAAATTGATAAACGAAGTAGTCACTAGATCGAAGGACATTTATCATTGGACGTCCTTGTAGTGGTGAAAACATGCGTTGACGTGGAATTTAATCCCCGAACATAATAAATCGCTCTTTATTCCATTACGTCTTCGACCACTTGGTTGACGCTCGTTTCTATTCCATGCATATTTATCCACGACCATTTAAAAATAACAACAAATCCGCTCGAATCCACTCTGTTTATATACCAATGGAACCATCCTTTTCTTTCATGAGCAGCCAACGATCAAATCCATCTCGTAATAGTAATCGACATCTGTGTACAATTACTTTCAAGAAGCTTCCAGTTAGGAGACACAATTTTTCTTTTTCCATAATTAGACTATAGCCCCAAGAGGACATTTTCTGGTAATTTTGACTTCAGGTGACGTTGAACGGCTCTCTGATTGTTATTAGAAGTTATCGAAGTGGTTTTTGGAACGACAAATAGGTTCATCTTAGAACCATTTTATGGCGATTTATTATTGTATACAATTTTTTAACTTGTCTTTTCGTCACATAAGAATTTCATAACATTTATACAGTCATTCCCAATTGGAACAATTCTATTGAGCTTTTAATTGTTAAAGCAAATTATTTCATTTAAAAAACAGAATTAGTACTTAATAGTTCAAGTTGTTTTTAAATTTAACAAACGAGAATTCGAGGATTTCAAGATTAGGTTCCAATCCAGTCTTGTTGAATTTAATCGGGCATTAACAAAAGCTTCATTTTAATAAATGAAGTTATACCACAGTTCCTATGTTTGGGGGATGACTGTAGTTTGATTACAAACCCTGTGCATCCCAGGGCGGTTTACTCACACTAAAACATTTCTGATTAGTCTCAGCCAATGTTCAGTATTGCCAGGAAAAAACCAAGTAGCTGTCGAACTTAACATTTGAGTCGTCAAAGATGAGAAATCACACGTTTCGGAATTGACAAGAGAAAAATGTGTATTTACTTGTAGAAATTTACTGAAAGAACGTATTTCTCGTCCTCGACGATTCGTTAAGCGTGCCCCCTCGAAAAACTCAACCACCAGGACACAATATATACTCAAAGTTGGATGGTATACAATCGTAAGAAATTATCGCAAGAAGGTACTTTGCTCAGTTACCGAAGAATCACCCAGATGTCATTGTAATATAAAAATAAAGCAGCATTTCCAATCTCAAATAGCTCCCTTATACCTAGCACTGGAGTAACCAATATTTTTAATCATTGAATAATCAGAATATATTCTAACTAAAATAGGCACGAATTATTAGCAAGTTTATCAGAATTTCTGCAACTAATATTCCTTCATTTCTTTCTTTTGTATTTATTTATCTATTTATTTATTTTCTTCGATCTGCATCACCAATTTCTCAGACAAAACTGTTCACAGACCCTGATCGAGCACTGCTTGAAATATAGTATACACAGGATGAACGGTCTGCCCTTAGCACTCGACACACACGACACTCGTTCGAATGGTGGCATGAGTTTACATTTACTATAAAAAGTATCCTTACAGCGCACTCTAACCATCGAAGCTTCGTTCCAGCTGTTTAATAGCTACTTAATTCCCAGCCATACAGTAATTCTGGGTACCCACTGTATCCAGGAGGTTAGAATAGCATAATGATCACCGTGCCTGTATCCACAAAATAGCATCGTCTCTACTGCTTGTTAGTATTTGAACAATTGCTTTTCGAGTGCTCGTAGCATGATGGACAGTGAACAAGTAGCGTATCTTACAGGAAGGTATATTTCATTTTATAATAATTGCTAATTGATATCTAATAATTAAAAAATTAATTTTTTCCCCAGGATTACTCAAGATAAAAATTATACTAATTCAATAATCGTGTTGGAGAAATATTGGTATTTTTGTTAAATTAAATTACAAAACTCGTATTCACAATAGTACTTTTAATGGGATAAACCTTCCTACAGAATGTCCAATGTAATATCTATTATACAAAGGGCAAATGGCTAACTAGGTTGTCTACAATGTAACTATTAGTCGAGAGTACATTAGAACCTGGTTATCGAATTGCAATTTCTCAAAAAATAACACTTCTTTTTGTTCTGTTACTTGGATATACAGAAACACCACTATGGCTGCTTCTACAAATAGCGCCAATAAAAAACGAACGGGACTTGGTGGTCCTGTTCCTGTTGACCTTCCGGGACATCACTGCCCTGAAGCAGCCAATCGAGGCGGACGACAGCAAGGGTGGCCTCTCGAAGTTCGCCAAGCTTGCCAGATCGGTCACCAGGTCGAGATCTGTTCTTGTATCACAATTCAGCTCCCATCTGCCCGCCCTGAAGGATTCCGCGTTGCCAACCACCGCGAAGCAATCACATTTAGCTCATGTAAGATTGTATAGACGTTTCTCAAATATGCATTTCTGTGATTTAATCGTCTTAAAATGCAGAAAAAACACGGAAGCCCAATCGAGCAAATTATTCGAATTTTCAGAACCATTCTTCTTCACACCTAGACCTCAGACCTTCTGTTCTTCTGTTATCTATTACTTTAGGATGGTTACAAAACTCGTGGTATTGGTGAAAGACTTTGGTTCTAGTATTTAATTAAATCATTTGTATTTGCATGAGTTTGATGAAGATTTAACCACGCTGGAGTTTCGTACCCATTTCGAAGAGATTTGCATCGAAATGTTAACAGAACCGTTGAGGGTTTGTACGTGTTCGAGATTGCTGGATTATTGTAATCGGTGATATTTAAATGCATGCCACGCTGTGCGTTTATGATTTGAAAGTCATGAAACATTTATCAAAATTCGAAATTCCGAGAGAAAGTTGCTTATTAACCCGAAACGATACTGAAAAGAAGGGGGAAACTGGTAACGATGATTGAACTGATAATTCAATTGAATTTTTTCAGATGATGTCCTTAAGCGGCGATGTGATGCCGCAGTACAGACAAGAGGCGCCAAAGACCCCGCCACATATTTTGTTACATTACTGCGCGTTCAAGGCGATCTGGGACTGGATCATTTTATGTTTGACCTTTTACACGGCCATCATGGTGCCCTATAATGTCGCATTCAAAAACAAGACCAGCGAAGATGTGTCCCTGCTGGTTGTCGACAGCATCGTCGACGTCATATTCTTCATCGACATTGTCCTCAACTTTCACACCACGTTTGTTGGCCCTGGTGGCGAGGTGGTGTCTGACCCGAAGGTACAAATGTCTTTATAAAGTCGAACATCATGGAAGTTTTCATATAATATTTAGGCATAGTCTATGCATTAAAAGTTCAAATGCTGTTGTATAAAATAGGGTCTCTATAGATAAGAGTAGAGGCTATGTAAGTACAGAAATCCGTAGAAAATGGATAAGAATACTATGAAATTAGTTTTCGAAAGGACTACTCGATACCTATAAAGAAAGTTATGTCAACATTTAATTACTAGTCAATTCTCTGTCACTTTTGTATCCTAATAGATCCCTTTACTTTTCCTCGAGACTTAGAAAATAAAACATTGTTAAACGTTATCTCAAATTGCACTCACAAATTATTTGTCTTTTTTTTTATTTTTCCTTTCATTCAAAGCTAACTCTTACACACCCTTCTGTCTTTCTACGTGAATGATACATCATCATTTGATACTGTTTTGCATTTCAATCGCAGGTGATCAGAATGAACTACCTAAAGTCATGGTTCATCATCGATCTGCTGAGCTGCTTGCCATACGACGTATTTAACGCATTCGACCACGACGAGGATGGTATAGGAAGCCTGTTTTCAGCGTTGAAGGTGGTTAGGCTGCTTCGTCTAGGTCGAGTGGTTCGGAAACTAGACCGGTATCTGGAGTATGGAGCCGCGATGCTCATTCTACTGCTCTGTTTCTACATGTTGGTTGCTCACTGGCTGGCCTGTGTCTGGTACGTCACTTTAAGGTGATTTTACCCTGCCCACACACAAGAAGGTAACACGGCTGCGGCAGGATTGACGGCTAAATCTACCTAAACGTCATTCACAATCAATTTTCTTGCCCGATTTTCAACCTAACGTCGTATGACGTGCAACATAAACGTGCATAGACAGATACGAACCACGCAAACATACACTAAAAACATGTACACTTGCACGCGAAATATGCCGTGCCGCTTTTATAGAACAGCATCGCATTCTTGTTCCAATGGGAATTGTGCAGATCATTAGATATATCGATCCTCTTTTTATCTTGCTCTGTTATTATTAATTACATGTATGATACGAATATTTCGTCAGTCGGAAAATTCCCGAAAGGAACCAGTTTTCTGTAGCTTCTAGATTAGTAACGAAAGCTACTTGGGTCGTCCTGAATGTTCATTTTAGAAGGATGTAATAAATACGATGGATGAGAGGTATCTGTATTCTTAATGTTAACGCTGAAACATCCAGGATGACCTGTCTGCATTATTCAGCGAACACAGAGTCGACGAAGATGATAGTCCAGTCACACAGTTAAAAAATCCGCGAAGGAACGTCACATTAAAACCACTGTCTAGTTCCTTCATCTCGCTTCTTAATTATTTTCGCTTCTTCCCCGCTCGAAGCGGCATAAACGAAGTAGCGCTTCAAATTAACGTTGCCTCGTCTTTGAAGACAAGGAAAAAAGAGAGGAAGTGAGTGAAAGGGAAAG